GGCCTCCCCCGGGGCCCCCGGGCGCGAGCCGACCCCCAAGCCCTCCAGCGTGGCGAGCGACAGGCTGCCCCCGAAGACCGGCGCGGTGGTGATCGACATGGGCACGGGCCTCTGTAAGGTGGGCTTCGCGGGGCAGGCGCGGCCCACCTGCACCGTGGCCACCGTCCTGGGCTGCCAGCCCAAGGCCCCGAGGACCGCGGGCGCGTCCGGGCTCGACACGTTCATCGGCGAGGCCGCCCGCGCGCGCCCGGAGCTGACGCTGGTGCAGCCGGTGCACGGCGGCGTCGTGGTGGACTGGGACGCCGCCGAGCTCATGTGGCGTCACCTGCTGGAGCACGACCTCCGCGTGGCCCCCCGGGACCACCCGCTGCTGTTCTCCGACGCGCCCTTCAGCCCGGCCACCAACCGCGAGAAACTGGTGGAGGTGGCCTTCGAGGCGCTGCACTCCCCCGCCACGTACGTGGCGTCTCAGTCGGTGCTGTCCGTCTACGCGCACGGGCGAGTCAGCGGGCTGGTGGTGGACACGGGCCACGGGGTCACCTACGCGGTGCCGGTCTTCCAGGGCTACAACCTGCCCCACGCCAGCGAGCGCCTGGACCTGGCGGGCACCCACCTGACGGCCTTCCTGGCGGAGGTGCTGCTAGGGTCCGGCCTGTCCCTGGGCCCCCGGGACCTGGACACGGTGGAGACCATCAAGCACCACTATTGCTACGTGGCCTCCGACTTCCCGAAGGAGCAGGCCCGGCCGGCGCAGGAGTACAGGCGGAGCCTCAAGCTGCCCGACGGGCGCACGGTCACGCTGGGCCAGGAGCTGTTCCAGTGTCCGGAGCTGCTGTTCCATCCCCCCGAGGTCCCCGGGCTGGCGCCCGTCGGCCTCCCCGCCATGGCCCAGCGGAGTCTGAGCAAGGTGCCCCCGGAGGCGCGCGAGGACGCCGCCCGCCACGTGCTGCTGTGCGGGGGCTCCTCGCTCTTCGCTGGCTTGGAGGCTCGCTTCCGCGCCGAGCTGCTCCGCGTGCTGCCCCCGGAGGCCCACGTCGTGGTGTTGGCCCAGCCCACCAGGAACTTCTCAGTGTGGATCGGGGGCTCCATCCTGGCCTCGCTGCGCACCTTCCAGTCCTGTTGGGTCCTGCGGGAGCAGTACCAAGAGCAGGGTCCCCAGGTCGTGTACCGGAAATGCTGCTGACCGGGCGGGGGAGGGGTGCGCAGTAAAGCCTCCCCTGGGGCCCCCTGTGTCCCGCTTGTTCCCCCCCCCACGCTCAGGTGCTTGGTCCTAAGGCGCCTCCCGTGATCCATCCTTTGGGACACCCCAATTCTGACCCCCCAACCCGTCACCAGCTTCTAATCCTGTCAACCCAGTCTCCAAGAATCTGTGTCCTCACCCCCAAGATGCCCTCAGATTTTGATCCCCTAACCTCACCCCTGCGGTCTACTGTTTTTTATATAACGCCCCCCAAGTCTTCCCTGGGCTCCAAGTCCCCCAATGCACCCCCCTTGATAGCTCCTCAAGGACCCATCCACCCACCTCCCCAAGGAACTTGCTCCGGGGTGACCCAACCCCCTCCCATGCGTGTGCCCACCCCTGGTACACCCCTATAATCTGCCCCCTACTTCTGATTCCCCCCAAACACACCCCTAAATTCTGCATGCCAAGATCCCCTTGTTCTCAGCACCCCTCTTCATTAGTTCCACCTCTTCATTAGTTTCTCCCAGGGTCACCCCCATATCAACCATGGAGACCCATGTTGTGACTCAGGTCTATTACACTGAAGGGTGCTCCTGGTATCCAAATTTTATCCCCAAGTTCTATCCTCCCCCCAAAACTCCCCTCCCTGG